TGAAATTCTGTGTCTTTCCTTGTGCTCACACACAGCTGCTCACCAAAGTCAACCAGCCAAACAACATGAATACTTACTGAAGTCACAATCTGTGACTGCAAAATTTATCTAGGATGTTGCTCAGCCAGGTACATGTGTATTTTTCCCCTTAAATGCAAAATGACACAAGGTAATTTTGAAAGGATTGAGGAAAATAACCAGAAGTTTACTTGTCATTAGATGTAGATAGAAATAATCAAAAGCAATAATCACACCATGTGAGGAAACTGAAGACAAACTGCAATTCTAAATGAGAGAGGAGCAGTAATTATGTGCAACAGAGTTCTTATTATATGTCATTCTGATTACCTTAGATTATATTTTTAACAGATATCCATTTTTATTTTTACTTCTAAAACAGGAAGTTCTTGTCAAGTATTGACGTCAGCTAGACTCATCAATTGTTCCTGTAATAGCTCAACTACCACTACAGTCACAAATGCTATGAAAGAGCTAAGTACTCTCTGTACAAAGAGGATTCAGTTTGGGCAATGCCACACTGAGTATGCGTGCCTAGTCTTTTACAGAGTAGTAATTGATATTGATAGATATTGAGGTTCCTTCCCGCTATCCACTGGTCTTTATTTTAAAAAAAATAAATAAAGGCATGATGATCCATCTTGAAAATAATAGTAATTCTTTTTCTTCTTTAGAAAACACAGTGAGTTTGTTGTGCTGGATTGCCTCCATGGCAGACCTCCAGCACATTCTGCAGGAGAACAAGTCTCTATGTGGAACTGCCTGCACCTCTTGACTGTGCTTTTGGGGTAATCCTTTGGGGCAGCACAGCAGCACCACATGGACTTCTCTTTGGCACAAGGGCCCCCACCACTCAGAAGCCATGCAACAAGAGTACTGTGAGCTGCTGCAACCTGGATCAGAGGCTACCAGCTCTGACAGCCATCAGCTGGCAATGTGGCTGCCAGTTCCCCTGCCATGTCCAAACCTGTACCCCCCATTATTTTCTGTTTGTCTTTACTTTATGTTCATGACTCTTATTATTACTGAGTCTGTATCCTTCTCTCTCACAGGAGTCCTGGATTGAACTATTTATTTATCATTGCTCTTATCTTGGCTTTAAAAGACATCCACAACTTGGAATGAGAGGGAAATGGAGCAGGGGGAGTGGATGCTGCCATGAGTGCCTGGTTCAGTGGAAAACTTCAAGCTGTGCCAGGCTAAACAAGGAAGGACAGGAGAGCTGCAGAGGTCAACCAAGTCCAAGGAAGCACTTAAACTCCGTGGGGAAGACAAAGGAAATATACTGAAAACACTGAAATGACGCTTTTGTGTCCTTCCTGTTTATCATATGAACCCAACTGGAGTTTTACTTCCAGATGTGAAGAAGGTTTTTAGCAACAGGAGGTTTCACTTGGCACTACAGAAGGGCTGGAGGCTACTGGTAAGCCAGCCATGCTCAGACTCACATGGCATCAGCATGGGGTGCCAAGGCCTTGCAGCGTTACACAGCCCAGCAGCTTCCCAAAGCCACACAGAGACACTTCTGACTGTGTACCTGAACTCTTGGATTCATTTAGTACTCCTCTGCACCTCAAGAAGGGTTGCACATTCATCAAAACATCTTCACTGGCCATAGATTTCAAATGCCCTTGGATGCTGTTTTAGTTTAGGTACCATGTTCAATTAGGACAAGTACCTTTCACGAACATGAACATACCAGTTTCAGCTAACTGCTGTACCTACACAGAGACTTTAGATGGCAGCTGGCATCTACCCAAGTCTTATGGATAAAAACAAATTTTTTTGAAGGCCCATGGAAATATGCTCTCCCATAAAATGTCCAGCACCTCTTGTTGCAGCCTGAACTAAAAATACTAAAAGTATAGTTCAGGCTTTTGTCATTCCCACTGTCCATGAGAGCAGGATGCACAGAGGCAGAGGATCAGAGGATATAAAAAGTTCATTTAGGAGTCTGTCTTCTTTACATTCTTAAAGTGACCTCAAACACTGTAAGCATCCCTTTCAGTTTTGACTGGAAAGTTTGGCTTTCTCCTGACCCTCTTCTAGCTGGCAGGAGGCTACAGACAGAGCCCAGGCTGTCACTTTGATGCTGCTTTCCTGTGACTCTGACAGCTCTCCCACAAATTTGTGTCCACAAATTGGCCATGCATTCCCATGCCTGGCCAGCAGAGCTAAGAATCTTTACAGCATCTATGTCCCAAACTCAGTAGAAGGGCTGCTGTCAGCTGAGATCAATGTAGCCCTTGCCCACCTTTGCCAGAGCAAGGTCAGTACAAAATGGGCTCCCAGTTGCACCTGGTGGCACCAGTATTAATTGTGTTCCACAACAAGGAGTAGAGCAAACTGGACTTACTGATTAACTAAGTCAAACTCCCCTAAAAAGTCTGTAAGATTAAACATTTCTTCTTTCCACTTTTTTTCATTTTTTCTTCCTAACTTTTTCTCAATCTAAGATTAAAAGCATTTCTTTCTGAAACCTGATATCTTCCTGATAACTGTCGAGTTTTAACCCAAGTGGTGATGTGATTTGGAATGAGATGATAACCACATATATAAGATGAAGAAGATACAGAGGTTTCATTTCCTACAAATTAATTCTCTACAAGCTGTGTAAACTTTCCTTCATATATATATATATATATATGAATAAATATATTAATATAAATTAAGTCTTTACAGACAAAGATGTTAGGGGTTTTCCCCTTTCAATTATTTAGAGAAAAAATAGAAATGCAATTTTACTGTCTGGGCACTTCAACTCATACCAGTAGATCGAGAGCTGCTCTGGTTGCCTTCCACAGTGCATTTCCTCATTCTTCTGACTATAAAATGAATGTAAATAAACTTCCAAAGAAACAACCTCATGCAGCCAGATATTACTAAGTAATTTCAAGTTTCTACAGCAGATTTACACCAATTTGTATTTACCCCCATCCCCCGAATACGAATGCCACGATCTCTCACTACAAAGGGGCAACATATGAGAGACAACACAACTGCCATGGCAATACCATGATGTCATCTTCACTCCTATCACTTTTCCATGACCAAACTTCAGGGAAGCTCCAAAAGTCAGCTCTAAAAATGCATTTAACAGTTATTCTGCAAGAGAGAGAGTAATCCACATAATCAAATTTAGTGGCCCAGCTCTGTTTTGTGTATCTGCTCTCAGCCTGTCCCAGCTGAAGGGGAGCTGCCAATATGCTTTGCTCTCACTCTGGCACTTTAGATCCTCTGTGAGGAGAGGGGACTTGTCCCTCCTCAGAGAGCTCAGGGCTCCCACAATTTGGAGAAGGAGCACAAGAGAGAACAGAGATGATTCAACACCCTGAGGGCTTGGCATACCTCCTGGAAGGAACAGGGAGCACCCTGAAGTCTCAGTGATGATAGAGAGATGGAGGCTTCTATGAGGACACAGAGAAGTGGGCTAGAGGCTGTAATACAGGAGACATCAGACTCAAAAACAAGACGGGGAAGGATGTACCCTCCAAGGACATGAAAAAAGCCTTATTTTAACCTGAGAAGTTTTCTTCTTCAAATGTCACACTTGTAGAACTTGTTTCTGAGAAAACCTGGAGCACAGAGTCCCTGGGAGATGCCTCATGTGTGCGCTTTCAGGAAACATTGCAGGTCTATCAGAGGGCTTAACTCACACACCATTAGATATGGTTTTGCCAAACAAAAAACTAATTGTGGACAAATATAAAGTACCACCAGAAAACAGCAATATCATCCTTTAAAAATATACCAAAGCATTTAATTCCATCTCATATTATATTCCATATAAGTGTCCAGAAGGCCAGTTAGTGTTGTGTAGCACTGAAATAGTTTCTCCCTGTTGCTCCTGGCAGCACCGGCCATGTGTTTTTTGGTGGCTCGGCACAGCATGGAGGGGAGCAGCACCACTCCTGCACAACTGCTGGCCAAGTTTAAAAAAGCCGCAGTTTCCCTGGCAAGCAGTTTTGTCTCTTACAAAAATGTGTATGTGGGGGAGAGGAACTGAGATAAGCCTCCCAGCGCTGGCTGTGTTGTTTTTGATGTGAAGGAAGGTAACTGAAGTGTGCAAGTAGCTTTTAGCATCAGAATGGGCTTACAGATATCTGCACACCAAAGGCGTTTGTTTTCTCAAGTTCGGGAAATTTTAGGTGGTGGGAATGTTAAGATTTCTGGAACTCGGTCGAAACAGTTCGTCTGTTGTCTATCTTGCCACTTTCCCCAGCTCACCCTGCTAGATGTGGATTCTGTCTCTTTCTGGGACAGAATCTGAAACTTGTTAACCCTTAAAGTAGAACAGGAAGACAAAGTTGTTTCAAAGTTTCTCCTGTTGTTCCTTTTAATTCCAAAAGAGCTGGTTAATAGGGAAGTGAAGAGACAGTCACAGCAGATTCCCCCGGTTTCCTCTACCCCTTCTCCCAAACACTCTGCTCCTGAGCTGAAGGGGATACATGGAGCAGCCCAAGAAATGCAGGACACCCGGCTCAGGTGTTGCTGTCCTGGCTCCCTGCCTGCCATTCAGCACCCTGTCTCTGGTGGTTGTGCACAGACTGACAGAGATCTCTCCCTGCACCCTTTTACCCCAGTTGTTACTCCTCAGTTACGGCATTCTGTTAGTTTTAAAAGTGATAACCCCTCCATCCCCATGTGGCTGAGGTCCATGATGGCGCCAGCCACGGGCTGGCCGGCCACATAGTAGAACCTCCATCTTACCTTCTCTGTCCCATAATTCCTTTCACCCACCTGTCCCCGCCCACAACCCTTACCCTGCCCAGAACCCCTTCCTTCCCTCAGACATCCCTCCCCCCTCCATCATGTTCCCACCCTGCATGATGTCACATTGTGACCCTGCGCCCAGGTGTTGCAACCCTGGTTCCCATGGTGACCCCACCCCTTTCCAGTCGCTCGTTCCCATGCCCCCTCGCTCTATTCCCATGGGGGGGGGGTGGGGATAGGGTGGGTAGCTCTGCCCTCCATTCCCACAGGGTGGGAGGCAGGTCCCCACCCTGTTCCCACGGTGGGGAGGGTGGGTCTGCCCCCTGTTCCCATGGTGGAGGGAGGGTATCCCCGTCCTGCCACCCTGGGTGGGGAGTGAATCCCCACCTGGCTCCTGTGGGGGTAGAACTGGGCCCCTCCCTGGACCCAGTGAGGGAGCCGGGCCCCCTGGCCCCTGTGGGGGTGGGGTGCCGGGGGGACCCAAGGGATGGGGTCCCTGGGGATGATGAAGAAGCTATAGCCTCAGCTGTTCCTGTTATGTATGTTGGTAAAACAAGGATAAATTGACACAACCAGCCCTTCTCTTACCAAAATATAAAAGAAATCAGTAAAACCCAAAGAGAGTTTGGTAGAAATAGTGAAATCCTTAAAGGAATGGTGAGACCTACTTTAACATCTCATGAGTTAGTTCCAGCCAATCTCAGAGACCTCTTCTGCTGTCTCCTAACCTCCTCAAAGTTCAATCTTTGGGACAACACATGGAAGAGATTCTTAAAAAGTCTCCTTGTTGAGCTCAAGCAAAGCACCCAGGATGCAAAAGATGCAGATGATATTGAGGTCACATTTGAACATCTATGTGGTGAGGGGATGTGGACTAAACCTGATGAGGACCAGGCTCGAGTGCTAACAAAATCCATTTTAGATAAGATCTGTGGCGTGGCAGAAAAGGTTTTTAACCAGTTGCCAGTGACTGAAACTCAGAGCAGCTATGTTAACATTAAACAGTTTCCCTCAGGAAGTTTTTTGCAGTTTGTCAACCGGCTTCAAGCACAAATACAAATGCAAGTGAAAGTAACAGTGGCACAGGCAGAGCTGATTAAGGAGATGGCTCAAAGGAATGCCAACAAGGCCTACCACAGGGTGACTGCCGATTGATCCTCCATCTACCATAGCGCAGCTGATAGAGGTGCGTACCAAGAAAGCAGAGTTGTTTGGTGCACAAGACAGGAGGCTGGGACTGGCAAACCCAAGGACTGTAGCAGCAGTAACAACAGAAGTGAAGAAGCCATCGATGTCATCAGAGCAGCTCCAGCATATCATCTGCTTCCAGTGCAAAAGGCCAGGACACTTTGCCAGAGACTGTCCTCAAATCCAACACCAAAAGAAATACCAAAAGGAAGTAGTAGCCAATCAACAAAAAAACTGGAACTAGATCACAGCCCTGCCCAGCGCAATGATATAAATGCAGCAGGCTCCAGAATGGGAAAAGCCTCTCTTTTAATTGATAAGGGGAAGGAAGGGAAGCAGGGTGCAGGACTGCAAAAAAATAATTGTGGGGAATGTGTGCCTAACAAAGTCTGGCAGCCTCACAAGCAATCCAGACTTCTAATTGCCAAAGCTTTTCTTTTCAGGTCTACTCATTGGGCAGTCATTGGAGTAGACCTGCAGGACAATTCACAAGATGTGACAGGACTGGATAGTGAGTATTTTGTTATTGGGGACACAGCATACCCACCCATGGAGATTGAGGTGGCTCCCATGACAATCAAGGGAGACTTAACACACCTCACTCTCTTGGCACGTTGCCCTCAGCTGCCCTTCTATTTGGCCAAAGGGGCAAATCATTGCCCAAGCCATTCATGTTCCAGCAGAGGTCCCAGCTGTCCTCTACTGGGCACAAGTTGTTGGCAAAGATAAACCCATCATGGAATGCAACCTAACCCATGGATCAGATCATCTCCATGTGGAAGGGTTGATTGGCACAGGGGCAGATGTGACAATCATACCCAAAAGGGTGTGGCCTTCACACTGGGACTTGCAACCCCTGGTGGGCAAGATACAAGGTGTGGGAGGAGTGAAATTGGAAAAAGTTTCTAAGAGCATTGTTCAAATTGAGGGGCCAGATTGGAAATTGCCCAGTGTTTGTTTGTCACTGACTAAAAGTGTCCCCTGTGGGGGAGAGAAACCATGTCTCAGAGGGGAGTCAAACTACTTATCCCTGAGACGCCCCAGAATTTTTAGAAGCGGCCGCTGCGGAGCACCCCACCCAAAAGTTAACGTGGCTGGATGATAATCCAGTCTGGGTAAATTAATGGCCACTCAGTAAGGAAAAGCTCAAGGCACTCGAAGAGCTTGTGGAGGAGCAATTGGCCAAAGGCCACATAGAAGAAACAACTAGCCATGGGAATTCCCCAGTCTTTGTAATAAAGAAGCCAGGGAAGGATAAGTGGTGCTTCAGGATCTCTGTGAAAAAAATAATTGAGGACATGGGGTCACTCCAACCTGGGATGCCCTCTCCAACAATGCTCCCACAAAATTGGCAATTGGCTGTCCTAGACATAAAAGACTGTTTCTTCCAAATTCCCCTACACCCAGCAGATGCACCATGGTTTGCTTTCTCAGTCCTTACAATCAACCCCTACACCCAGCAGATGCACCATGGTTTGCTTTCTCAGTCCTTACAATCAACCAGGAGGCCCCAGTGAAACAATACCACTGGAAGGTTTTACCTCAGGGAATGAAATGCAGTCCTACCATCTGCCAGTGGTGTGTAGCTTCATTGCTGTCCCCAGTGCCCTCTGAAAAAGGAGAAGCCTTTCACGTGGATGATGTGAATCCCCAATGCTACTATACTCCAACACACACTTGACCTAGTGGTTAAAGTTCTAACCTCTGCTGGATTCCAACTGCAAGAAGACAAAGTTCAAAGGATTCCACCTTGGAAGTACCTGGGCTGGGAGATCACTGCACGAACCGTTCTGCAGAAATTGGAAATTGTTAATGATCCCAAAACCCTAGGAGATCTCCGTTCCCTGTGTGGGTCTTTGAATTGGGTCAGCCCTTGGCTAGGTCTCACTAATGAGGACCTAAGTCCCCTGCTCAATTTATTGAAGGGAGAGCTGCTTTCTCCCAGGGAACTGAACCCAGAAGCAAAAACTGCTATTGAAAATGCACAAAGGGCTTTGACAGAGAGACAGGCTCATCCTTATTGGCCTGAGCTGCCTTTCAAATTCATTTTCCTGGGGAAACTACCACACTTACATGGGTTGATATTCCATTGGGTTGAAGGGCAGAGAGATTCACTCTTAATCATAGAGTGGGTCTTCCTCTCCTACCAATCATCCAAAACCATCACTAAGCTACAAGAGCTGATCTTGAAAGCAGCTCAGCTGATCCAAAAGGCCAGGGTGAGGCTGCGGGATCTGGCTGGTTGTGACTTTATGTGTATTCACCTCCCAGTCAGACTTTCTGAGAAGGGAAAGCTCACTCCTGAGAAACTGACCAAGGAGATGTTTGAGTACCTGATGCAGAGAAATACTGACGTCCAGTTAGCTCTGGACAGCTACAATGGGCAAATATCAGTCCATGCGCCGTCGCACAAATTGTTTAATGAGGAATTCCACCACATTCCTCGTGAGAAAAGGAGCCGTAGGCTGCTCAAAGCTCTTACAGTGTTCACTGATGCATCTGGGGCGTCCCACAAGTCGGTGATGAGTCCTCAGACTCAGCATTGGGAAGCTGATGTTGAGTTTGTGGAGGAGTCACCACAGGTAGCCGAACTGGCTGCGGCCGTGAGAGCCTTTGAGAAGTTTTTGGAGCCAATCAATTTGGTTACTGACTCAGCCTACATAGCAGGGGTGGTGTCCAGAGTGAAGCAGGCAGTTCTCAAGGACATCAAGAACAAGCATCTCTTTAGGTTGCTCTCCAAACTAATTTATTTACTCGAGAGCATCCTTTCTATGTGATGCATGTGAGGTCACATACTGATTTGCCAGGCAAAATCACAGAAGGGAACCTTAAAGCAAACTCCCTTGCCGCCCCAGCTGAAGGGGTACATCCTCCAGCAGGCCAAGCTGAGCCACCAGCAATGCCATCAGAATGTGCCACGACTGATCTGTCAGTTCCAGCTGACATGGGGTCAAGCTAAGGCCATTGTGGCCACCTGTCCCAGTTACCAGCTCCAGGCTGTGCCATCGCTGGGTGTCAGGGTTAATCCCCAAGGCCTTGGGAGCTGTGAGATGTGGCAGACAGACATCACACACATTCCCAGTTTTGGCACGTCAAGTATGTACATGTGACATTTACAGATACTCAGGAGCAGTGTATGCCTCAGCCCATGCTGGGGAAAAGGCTGTGCATGCCAAACAACACCAGGTACAGGCCTTTTCAGTGCTGAGGATCCCTAGGGAAATTAAAACTGGCAATGGCCCACCATATAAATCCAAGGAATTCCTAGAATTTGTCTAGCAGTGGGGAGTGGAACACAAAACCAGCATCCCCCACTCCCCCACAGGTCAAGCTGTTATTGAACGTACCCACCAGACACTCAAACAAGTCCCGGCCAGGCAGAGCAGTGCAAGAGTGTGCAAAAAAGCTCTGCAAAGCCATGTTTACTATCAATTTTCTGAATTGTTCATTTGAAAATACGAGTCCCTCAGTGGTTCAGCATTTTAACAGTAGTGATCAATTTAAGTTGTTACAGTGTCTGCTGATCTTAATCAGGGACCCAGAAACCTGGCAGACCAAGGGCCCCTATGAACTTGTTACCTGGGGGCGTGGCTACACAGGTGTGTCCACCCCCACAGGCCTATGCTTACTCAAAAGCAGGTAAAGCCTTTCGTTTCCAAAAACCCAGCTCCAGCAGAAGGGGATGAAAAACAAATGGCAGTCACTTCCAAAAGAAGATGTTGCGGGAAAGTGGGAGAAGAAATCTTCCTGATATCTGGTTACTCTCTGGCAGACACCTACTGACTCTTACAATGCTTTAAAAATGTTTGTTTTTCCTTGGGTGAAAACCTACCTCCCACTCAACCTTGTGATGAGCCTTGTCCCAGTTGTCATCTTGTTTGCACAGACTGGTTCAGTGAATTGGTCAAAGGCTGGGGACTCACGACGTGGTGGACTTCAATAGTTAACCCCTTCTTTTAATTTTATATAATTATAAAGGGGGCAATGTTGTGTTGGACTGAAATGGTTTCTCCCTGTTGCTCCCCCCCCAGGTCTCCGGCAAGTTGGTTCCTTCCCCCGCCCCACACCTTTGGTCTCATCCCATTGGTTGTAATTCTACTCTCCCATTCCCCCTTCCCTCCATTAGGAAAGTTCCCACCACTTTCTCCTCAGTCTCTTTTTTCCGTGGAGTTCATTTGGAATAAACTGGGACTGTGTCCTGGGAGAAAACATCCTCCTTCCTTGCTGTACCCCCCCCACCACCAGTGGACTGCAGCTAGTCGGACAATATTCCCGGTCTGGGAGCAAAGGGATTTCAGCAATTTAGAAATGCTTTGCTGTTTTTTGTTTTTCTTCATGATATTAATCTATACTAGTACATTGCATATCATTTAACAGAAAGAGTGTTTTCATGCATCAAAAAAAATTTTTTGTTTCATTAATACCCCATGTCTAAAAGTAAACCCAGCAGATTTAGAATGAATTCTTATGATATTTCATAAGACACGATTTCCTAGAGGAACAAGGGACACTTCCTTTAAATTATGCTGTTTAGAAAATAAAGCAGAAGAGTCACTTGTGCTCACAGTTCCCCATGTGGATTTAACCTCTACCTTCAGGCATTTTGCACAATCCCATGGGGAACATTCATGCTGTGTTGCCAAGGGCTGAGCACCTGGGATCAGGCACTAGGAGCAGCACTGCTGCTGGGCTGCTGAGAGTGCCAGCTGTGCCTGCAGTATCTGCAAGCAAAGATTGCTGGAAGTAGTGACTGCCTTCCTCTGGCTTCTTCTGGAGTACTTCAGGATTAATTCTGGAGGGCAAAATTTCAAAGCAGAAACTTCTAGAGAGCTATTGTGCATCAAGAGTAAAGAAACATGGGAATATGTTGTCACTACAACCATCTGTACTTCAATCAAACAGCCTCATCAGACAGTACTACTGTTAATCTGTTCTCTGTTTATGATGGGTTCTCAGTCACACATGAGAGGCTCAGACGAAGGCAGGGCTACACCTCATTCTATGTCATTCTAACTCCAGCTACTGCTTCTCAGGACAGATACAATCTGCTGCTGAGATAACAATCCCAAACTCTGCCCTTTTTGATGTTTTTTTTTTCCTCCTTATCTCTTCCCAGTGACTGTAATACCTGTTCTGACAGTACCAGTGGTCTGACTTTCCAGCTTTGACTGAAAAAAAAAAAATAACAGCAGTGAGAATAGATGCCTTAATTCTGCTGCTCCTTAACTTAATAAAGCCAAATATGTAACAGAATCTGATTTTTCACTTTTCTTTATTAGGTACTTTATCATTTGGGCTCCATTGTCCAACTTGATTTGTTACTACAAGATAAAGCAATTACATGCTCAAATATGATTCACTGTAAAACTACAGCCTGTGAAATCTCAGCTCAGCAAAAGATATGTGCCATGGCTAACAAACATACATCCTATGTGTGACACTTGAGAAGAGTAGTGACCACAGGCCTGTGCTATCCCTCTCTACTGCTGCTCCCTGGATTTCCCTGAAGTGGCACAGAACCCAAACTGGGGAGAAACCACCACAGGATCTGTCACAGAGGGCAAGGAGGCAGCCAGTGCATGGGGCCAAATGCAATCCAGATCCCAAAGGGGAGCCACAGGTGAGAAAAGGAAGAGCATGGTAACTCATGAGGAAATCAGGAGAGAAAAAGGAAAGAAAACCTCCCTCAAGAGCTGCAGAGAGGTTTTGCCAGACAAAGGGAGAAGCCAGGAAACTACACACTGCTCAGATGTGCTACATGGTCCTGACTGTCTGTGGTGCAGCCTCTGGCTGGCCCCTTAGCTGGTCCAGCAGGCACAGGCTGTTTCCAAGTGGGGTGAAGGCCAACAGGCTTCCTTGGGACCCTGGTATTCTGAAGGAACCCTACTTGGCAGCTCTGCCTGCAGGTGCTTACATCACAGAGAGCATTCTGCCTGCTACCAGCTCCTCATCCCTGGCACCAGGGTCAGCCAGGAGGAAAGACAGCTGCTGGACACTTGCCAGCACATCTTGCATTGCCTTAAATGCTCTCTTCTGACTACATGCCCTGTTTGCTATGAAACAAATCTAATGGAGGAAACAAACAGGATTTTGCTTTTAAAAGTATTGTATCAGGTACATTAACAGTTCTACCATATATGTAACTCAGTTCTTCAGAGAGTGCTTGGGTTTCATTTCTGCTGTAATTTTATCAGCATCTTGCTCAAGCCTCTCCTGGGTTTCCTGCTACTTAATTTATTTTCCTTTGCAGTCATATATGGAGCCATCTACAGTGCTCTGCTGGCTGCCATACCTCTGGAAACACATCACACCAAAGTGTTGTAGTGAGTGACCTATGGCTCTTGTTTGTGGTTTTTACTCATGTAGCAAATACTAATTTTGTGGTTAGGACCTATTAGTCAAATGATTGCTCTTTTTCAGCTTAGCAGTTGCTGAGCACAGATAGTAAAAATGAAGACTTCTGTGGCAGAATAGCAGTCATTTGTCAAGTTTTAACAAAATCTCTGACACAGAGGTGGCTCACAGAAAGCAAAGAACTATTGTCTAGTTATTAGTACAATAAAGGTGAATATAAACCCAGCTGACATCCCAGAAGCAGCAAGTCATTAAAGGGGTGCCACAGCAAGCCAGCAATCAGTTCAGCTCTCCTGGCATCAGCACTGAGGTGAATGCCATTCACCCTATTTATCAGTGATATTACTTATTCTGTGTTATTTGTTGGTGGAATATATGAATTTGACAGCTATCTTTGGATGACAGGTATATCAAATATCAGGAGACATACATACTAAATGTAGATGATTTAAATGACTTGGAGATTTGTAAGAATAATGAGATGTGAACTTCAGCGGGAGCAGGGGAAAAAGGTAGATGCCATACTATAGCTGGGGCAGATATAGGCAGGGTATGGATATGTCAGGCTCACTCATATGGAGCAGGACTGGATGGAGGAGGTTGGCCCCCCACAAGTCTTGCAGATACACTAACTTCAAGATACTGATTCTTCATTGGAGCTAGGGGATATGCAAAGTCAAGGAAAACAGAATTTTACAGCTTTAGGGAAGAGCTAGTGTAGCCCAGAGCCACACAGCCTGGCTAGTGCTGCTGCTGCCCCCAGGGAGGAAGGGAAGGTGTATTTTGGGATGGTCTGTTATCTTCCCTTACCCATAGCCACTGCTATATGCGCCCTGATCCCATCTCACAGGGCAGCTGCTACTCTGGTTCTTGGCAGCATTAGCACTGGCAAAGTGAGCAGTCAAGCTATTGATCTTTAGCTTGGGCATTTCTCTGTATTTGCCAGTGTGTAAAAGCAGGCAGAAATATACTTCTTTTTCACACAGAGAAAGGCAGCAGGCAGAGAGTTTGTCTCCACCAGGGGTGGGCTAAGAAAAATACTCACCTCTGTGGTAGACTCCCTTCACCTCACTTGTCTTCCCACCTCCAGCCTCAGCACATGCTATCTGTATGGAAGTCCATACAGAGAAGGAAAGGCTTTAAGGGGAAGGGAAAGCATTTTGTTTGCTTCAAGACTTTAAACAGCTTTTTCTGGGATAATGCCAGGATCCCTGGAGAATGAACTCCTGTCACTGAACTCCAAAAATTCAGAACAACTTTAAGACAGCTTAAGTTTGGGGGCAAAAACTGGCTACCCCAAAAATCAATATTCAGCCTTGAAAATACACACCTAAAAGGATTTTGGCTTAAGTTGGGAGTTCTGTCACTAGTAAATCACAAGCAACTTCTGTTAAAATGCTTTGAGAGTACTGGGTGTTGCAACTGAAAGAAGGCTCCCAGGAGCCAGAACTGTGACACAAAAACAGACATCTTACAAAAACTGGGGAGAGTATTGAGAGCCCGCCAGCTTATTCACGAGTCTTCACAGAAGTAAGAGTGAACGCTGTTTATTTCTATCTTTAGCACACTTTTATAGGGTTTTACAGGGTCCGCAGGCTAAGCAAGTTACTGTTGGCTAATACACACAGGTTTATATTTTTTCTCCTGTGCACAAGGATATTGTTTTGCTTTATTCTCTCTTATGCAAGAGAGTTTCAAGGACTTTAGCCTTTAATATCATGACTTTTTCCAGAGGCTGGTTTGTGCAGACAGGCCTTTCATGCCCACCTTCTGTTAAAACATTATCTAAGGAGAGCTATTAAAAGTTAACTGCTCCATGGAGTCAGCAGATGTTAAGTAATTAATTTAGTCTGAAATGGGAGAGCCATGTTGTCAGAGGGCTCCTGCCCCATAAGGAAAGGACAGATGTTGCCCTGATGAGGCATCTGAGAAAATGATTTTTAGCAGAATGCATGAGAATTAAAGAACAGTTGACAGTGCCACTCAGGAAAGAAGGTAATCTCTAACTGGACTCACAACTGCTTACAGGGAAAAATAGGAAAGAGATAAATGTGGTCTCAGTTGAAACTAATGCAAGAGGCCTAACCCTGAGGTTTTATGAAGGATGTGAACCCAAATGACAAGGAATGAAGGTGTATCTACAGGAGTAGTTATACAGACCCTTGGGGCCTGAGGAAGGAGGGTGAACTGCATTTCCAGGTTGGTGGCTAGGAACTAGGAACCACTGTTGCCTCCACACAGCCCTGCCCACAGTGGAAGCAGGCACAGCCCACCATTGCCAGACCGCTGGTGCTGCAAAAAAGTTATTGCTACAACTCTGTCCCATCCATGAGATGGGATTCACTCCCTGCATTAACCTGTGCCTTGGCAAAGACCATGGGGAAGGCAGACAGTAAAACTCCCAGGGGTCTGTTTCAAATAAGCGTGCGGGAAAACATCTGGGAATAGACTCTCTGTGTGTTCCTGAGGGCAAATTCACAGTAACAAAAGATCTCAAAAGGATCTTGTGGAAAAAAATGAAGAGCCCTTCCCCCCCTCAATTCTGATAGTTTCCAGATGGGAAACTGAAGTGAAACTTTTTAAAAAATATTCAGAAACCTTTTGAACCTCATTAGTTTTCATTTCACATGTCTCTGCACAAAGAAGTTTATAAACCTGCAGCTCTTTTAGATTAAATGGTGTAACATTCAGATTATATCAATCTCAGTGCAGGGGGAAGCATTTATCTCAGCAATATTTTAACAAAAGAAGTAATTTTCTGCAGCATTTACAATGCTTTCTTATTTCAGGGGTCATGGGAGCTGCATAACACCAGGTCTTCACAGTCTCAGAAACCAAATTACCTAATTTTAAGGAAACAATACCTGCATGCAATTAAACTCTTAACTTTACTCATGTGAGTAGTTTGAACTGATGCACAGAAAATGCTTGCAGGCTTTCAAATGCACATGTGTAAGTTTTGGCAGGGCTTGGTTTTCAACCATGTTAATTTTGAAGCCTTGCTTTCTCTTTTTCAGCAGCAAACCTAGAAAAACTACATATATGCTATCAACTTTGAAAATCCTGTAAAATCAGTTTTGGAGACATCACAGAAATCAAAGGAAATGTGATAAAATTAAAATGCTCTCATTTAAAATAAGATTTTATTTCCCTTTCAGTAACATACAATATTTAACTAAGAGTTTTAATACATTCAGTAAAATATGAGCATATTATTAAGCTCCTCAGAATGACACCATTTACTGTAAAGTCATTACCATTCTGTTTGCTCATGTCTAGCCTCTTTGTTTCAAGTCTGTTTTCCCAGCTTACAGTATCACCTCAACAGACTCTAACATACATGAGTAATGTGTCTGGAATTTTTCCTTGCAACACCAAACCTCAGACCAAGCTCAGGCTGAAGGGCCATGCTGTGAATAGGATGGGAAGCAGCTTCAGCTGTACCTCTTTTCTACATTCTCCATCCTGTCCCTTCCCTTGCAAGAAGCTGCTACCTAGGCTGCTGTCTGTCCCTGACTTCACTTCCTTCTCTCACCGCTCTCAGAGACAGCATCTAGACTTTTGGAAGTCCAAACCCACCCTTTGTTAGGATCTAGTAGAAAAAAAACAATTCTGTGCTTCTCACGGCCTATGTTCAAAATCTGCAACAGTGACCTCAGAAGTCCAGAGGCAAGCTTGTTTCTGTAAGGAAGGACAGTCAGAGGGGATCTACTCAGCTAATTAAGTATTTGTGGTCATTTCTGAGGTGCTGTCCACAGTTGAACCAGTGAAGTAAGGGAATGTCCTGCCTCTTGCTGTCTGTCCCCACAGTCAGTGGGGCCTTATTAACAGCGCTGAAGATATCAGCACAAGAGAAGGATGTCAGTCTTTCCTTAGCATTTTAAACCTCTATAGACTTCAGGTCTGAGGGAAGCTGATTGTCCCTCTGAAACATTGTCATCTAGTCCTTCATACAGATATTAGCAAATAAAAACCAAGTTGTGTGAAAAATGTCAGTTCTATTTTTGCCAACTAAAATATAACAGGAAATTGTATGCTTAACATATATGGAGAACTGCAAAAATGAACCACAGATAAGTAACCACTGTTATTAAGAATGGTAAACACAGTTACAGAGGTGAAATGGTTTATGCATATCCTTTAATATGAATTCCAGCTACAGAGTTGCTCCACATATGAAGGTTAATAGAGGATCCTTACAACAACTTAAGGAAAAAGAATTGCATTCTTACAAAATAGTCATATATTTATCCAGTGCCTTAATACATTAATGGAAAAACATATGTATTATGGTACACAAACTAAACAAATCATTTCTGAATACACTAATTTCAGAAATGCACCAACAGCTCTAATAAGAACTTGAATATGAATGTCATGCAAACAAACAAACAAAAAAACAAAAACCAAAAAAACAAACAAACAAAAAAAAGCAATCTGAGTGGCTAAGCTACAAGCTGTTTTGAATGATGTCCAGAATCCAGATGAACCAAAGCCTGTCACCCCACATCTGAATCATAAATGCAGGTCTCTTCTGGGATGCCCCAGAAAACCCCATGCAGAAATCTCAGCTCCACCAAGGTTTGAGCTAGTGGAGTGCTCTGCAAAGTGTGCCTGGATGCTGCTGCACCAAGAAGGTGGTACACAGGTGACTCTGAGATTATGAGCCTGGCCCGCTCTGTCAGCAGGGTAACTATATAAGCAAGGGAGTCTGGAAAACACTGTTGCAAATATTTTTATTTATCAGAACGGGGGTGCTGGAAATCTTCTGTTTGTTCTTTGAAAGTACTTGTTTTCCTAAAGAAACAACTTCTTTCCACAGCTCTGAGGCTCAGGGCTAAATATTTTCCATACTAACTTTTCTCCCCAACAACTGGTGTAGTGACTCCAGCAGCTGAACCTCCCCTTTCTAGTCACTAGTACAGCCAATGTAAAGAGAGGGGTACTATGTGGAACAAATCACACACCTTAGAGAGGCAAGCCAGTCAACCCCTTCAAGGTCTCTTTTAAATGAGATGGAACAAATTAAAAGCAAATACTATTCACACCTATCAGTTCAATCAACCTAATGTTCCAAATGAAGGAGTCCCACTCTTGGATCCTCTGCCAAAAAGGCACAGTATGACATGAACCAACGGAGTTTGACTTTTTTAAGACATTCAATTTTCTATGAAAAGATGCACTTAAATTTTTAGGAAAAACAGTGTTTTGGGTGGCATCCTTAAGGGTGAATGGAGACAGTATATGCCAAAAGTAATTTATGAGGATTTTCCCTCCAAATTTTTACTGCTGTATCCATCACACAGGGAGGGAGCGATGTTGAGTCCTCATGGTGCACAGGCAATAACCATGAGCAGGAATTGGCTGCCTCTCATGGACAGCCCCTAATATTTGATCTTTTGGAATTAAATTCATATTCAAAGACAGAACAAGAGAATTTAGCAGGGAGAAATCGGAGCACCCAGCAACCCAGACAATCCCTAGCTCAGGATGTTGCCAAGCCCACAGGTACTCATGTGTGACAAAGACCCCCTCCCCAAAACATCCTGGGAAAGGCTCCCAACATACTTTAAGTTCAGGGCTACTAATCTAATTTATTTTCAAACTGGTAATTTGTGGCTCACTGGCAAGTATCTATTTTTAGAGATGGCTTCAACAAGCTCTAAATGGAAGTACAACAGACTGTGGCCTCCAGCCACTGTAACAGCCCAGCTCCTGACATGAGTCTGGAAGCTTTGGCCAGTGCAACTCAGGCATAAACTATAATTGTTCATTGTATTGTAATTACGTGTTTTAACCTGTGGGCTCCACATCACACAGGTTATTTTGAATTATAGAAGAAATACCATGGTTTTGCATGGTTTTTCTTCTTTTTTTCTTCCTGCTTGCTAAAACACAAGTTGGAAGCCTTTCCCAAACCACTCCATTACCATGTCTTCCAGCATGAACTGTCTTATTTGCTCTGAGTCAGCTACATCTGAGGAGCCACAGCTGGCCCGGAGCTAAGCCAAAGATTTTTCCCTTCAGTTTTGTTGCACAACGTCATCTAAATACATGGTCCCATCTAATTTGTTTCCTTCTGGGGTTTAATGAAACTGTCTTCCACTTTGCGACGTCTCAAGTTAGGGAAACGTCATAAGATCAGTGTCCAAAACCAATTCAGACAGCAATACAAATAAACATCCATTGGAAAAACAGATATAGACAGGAAATAAAATAAAAAAAAACCAGCAAACTTTTGTGACTAGACTATTGCTTTCATTCACATCATGATCTGGAATTTAATTTTCATCTGTTTCTATGAAAAATATGAACAAAGCAGTGTATAATGAAGGAATGAATTCCTACTTGATTGTGTGTCCTGGTTTCAGCTGGAGTTAAATCATAACACTGTGTAACTTTTCCATTCTTGTGAATCTGTCAAGATAGTCTTTTAGTAAAATTTGGTTTAAAAAATTGTTTTTGGAGTGATGCTGAATCTCTAAAATTCTTTAAGGTGAAGATTGCCAAGATGCTTGGAAGCTGCGGCAGAGACTGCATTAAGAAGCAGCCCAATATACATTTTTTTCACTATCTTTATTTTTACTTCATCCTCACAGACAAGATATCTTTGTAAAAGCCAGCATATTTCACTAATTTCTATTTTATAACTTAAAAAAGCTGTAGTGTGATTGAAAAATGAAATTTGATTATTCAGCAACACATAATTTTGAAAAAAAATCATCTCTAATCAAGAGATACTGAAATATTAAGATGCTAAATTAATTTTCTTATTGGCTCAAATTTTGAGGCAAAAAGAGTTTACATTGTTTTAAATGGGTTCTGTGCTTGTTAACATCCCTGAATTGACATCCAAATATGGAGTAGAAATCAAGCAAAATGTCTGGCTGTACCACACACATCCACTAAGGGTTAAGTGTATGTACCTCTTCCAAGGGGCAGAAACTCATGTCCACCTAAAAAACAGGCAAAGAAATATCAGCTTGCTGTAATCACACCTTGTAGCCCAAACACAAGCAAAAGTCAGAGGAGTACACAAGACTGTGCTGCACAACATCAGTGTTTCTCAAGATTATCAGGAGTCTCCTGACCCCTTGGGTCTTGGCCAGTCCACAGCTGCTCTATGCCTTGGTGGAAGAACAGATTATGGAGTCACACTCAGGGACCCAGAGGTCCTGCCCACCAAAGACACTGCACACTACTCTCTGGGCAAAATGTTCTGTCGCAGAACATGGGGTAGCTCCTCTCTACTTCCCTGTAGAGGACCTCAATGATCACCACCTAAATTACCCCTTCAGTGTATTTCATGAAACTTTTCAAGAGGCCCTTTGGAAATTGCTAATCAATGGACAGATTTTTTTTTCCTAAAACTGGTGTCAGTAGTGTGAGGAGCATGGGACTAACAAGTAGAGGTGCTCTGATGGCACTGAGCTCAACTAGCACCCTCTGTAATACCCTTCTGATGCAAGATGAAGGACACCACTGGAGCATACCTTCCTCACCATGAACAACCTCATGATGACCCACGTGGAGTTGGTGGGAGACACTGTTGTGGAGGGCAGTGAACCGATCAGCAGAGTGGCCACTCTCCCCTGGAGAGGAAGCCATTTGGATTCAGCTTGGGACCCTCCCCCTGGGGGAGAAACCCTGCCTGGTAGCCCTTGCAGTTGTGGTGGGCAAAAGAAGTCACCTCCCAGCATGCTTGCAGCCCACGTAGATTCTAGGTATCTCATTGGTTCTTCCCCCTTGCCCTGCTCCCAGCCCTCAGGGGATGTAAACCTCTGTTTTCTCTGACTCCCCAGCTTTTCGTTCTGGGATTTCTTGGAGGAAAGAGCTGATTAAAAACCTCCTGAGAGATCTAATACGAAAGCTCTGTCTCCTTCTTCTGTGTCACCCAAAGAGCTGCATCTCACTCCAAAGCCCTTTTCAGGGCTCGGAGCTGGAGCGGTTGAAGAGATTCCTGGGCTTTCAGCACATCCTCTTATGAGGACACTTTGCTAGGAAAGTCACGGCACCTGACCACTGCAACCAGCAGCGTCACACCATGACTTTCCAAAGGTTTCATAACCCTGGTGACAGCCCAGGCTGGTGCAAAAGAGGCTTCTTGCCTGTCCTGTTCTTTTCCTCTGCTACCTGAATTGGAACCTCTCATGTCAGCTGCCCTCAGAGAAGTCAGCACAATCCTCTTTCTAGATTACACCTACACCCCAACTTCAATCCAACACAGATCTCCCACTGGTAACCAGAAAGGTTAGAAGGGCTAACAGAAATAATTTTACCAGCAGTTTCAAAATCCGTAAGATTTTCTCCACCAGGGTGGAGAATTATTTTCAGTCCAACTGGTCTGCTTATTTATTTGTTTAAGGACAACTCCAGCAGTGAGCAGGGAAGAATTACATTCCTGCATAATGTAATGTAAGGAGTGTGATGCCAAGTTCCTCTGACTTGCAGCATTTCCTCACCAGCATTTCCTGGTTTCCTCCATCCTGAAAGGCTAGGAAGACATCTGTTCTATACCTTACAGCAAACAGCAAGGTCTTTCGTATTGCAAAGGAATAATTCAACTATGGAAAATAAATTTACCTTTTCTGAATGTACTGAAAATTCGACTTTTAGTACAGCCAACTGAATGTATTTCCACATAAACTGGTGATAAATGTAGAGGAGGAACTTGCAAGGAGAAGTGCCAATTTGCCTGTACCCAAATCAAAGCAGTTGCTACTCGAAAGTATTAGGATAGCAGCATGCGCAGAAGCACATGGAGTTCCTATTGCAAAAAGAAAAGCTTGCACATTGTGAGAATATAAAATCTTGTGAGGTATAAAATCTTACATTCTCTTCCTCATTAGCACAGTGGGACAGTAATATCACAGGTGTTAACTGGCAGGTATGTTCATACAGAATTGTTCATTCCTGTTGTACAGTGTAGCAGAGAACAGAAGTCAGGTTTAAAAATGAACATGCATCAGGTCTCTTTTCACCCAGGCTGGGCCCTATGGCCATAATTACTATGGATAAAACATATTGTTCAATAGCAAGTTTTTCATAGATTTTAACTCTGCAAGAAGTACAACATGATTTCTAGAGGTCAAGTCTTCAGAATAAGAGGCAGGGCTGAGAAGCAGCATGTTCAGTGTAGGCAGTAGCAATAAGCTACATGCAGCAGCCCTAGCTCATGCTCCCAGGGCTCTCTAACATGCTAATATCCCCAGGCTGCTCTGAAAGAACGCATGAGTGCTGCCAGACCTTTCCACCCCAACAGCAGAAATAAGGCGAGAAAGAGTTTTTAAGAGGCTCCTGGAGACATACCCAGGATTTCACATTTTTAAAATCTTAGCATGCAAAGTCTCCAATAGGTGTAGGACCATCTATTGCAATCCATGGAGATGACCCCTGTGATCTCATTGGTCTGAGTAACCTGTCTCAAGGATTGACCCATTTGCTTCTCTCTGGATAAAAAACTTTTCAGACAGCTCATCTAACACAAATCTGTCTTGTCTGTGCATACAAGTCTAGAATTGACCAATTTATACAAATAGCAAGAAATTAGCAAGCCCAGTGATAAGCCTTAGAAATAATCAACTACATTGACTGTAGCTTTTCCTCTGTCACACATTTGTGGCTGTGATTACTACAGCTAGGCAACACCAACTTTGTAGATGCTGCCATGCCCAGGCTCATTTCAAACTATTTTCCTTACAATAAAATCCTTTTCATTCTTTGTTCCTTTTGTAGATGTTTTTTTTTCTTTACACAGGAAATAAGCTACAATATTCTTTGAACAAATCAAAGGATATTGTTCCTATAACCTATGTGCTCTCACCATGCAGGGGCTGGAGTGCTTCACCTTAGAGCCTTTTTGCTGGGTTTTTTTTGGGGGGGGGAATTGTTTGGTTTTTTGTTGATGTTTTTCTTTAGATAGCATAAAGAAAATTGTTGCCAAATTGGCAAGTCCTTACAGCAGGACTAGAAAAAAATCCTATTCCAAAGCTTTAAACAAAATTCATGGATACAGGAAACACTGCCCTGGATTTCTACATGCCAGGACTGTACTGATTTGATGCAGCAGGATGCTGTCACACACTGTCAGCCAGCTCGTGGCCTGGCTGAGATCTGTTACTGCTCTCAACGGGAACTGAACTGGCCTCTTCATTCTCTCTGTCACATTTTGGCTGAATAAAGCATTTTTCAGTCTGGATGGGATGGTAAAAATTAAGAGCCTTTTAGGAATGGCATAGCCTGAATTTCCAAAAGCTCTCTAGGTCACCCAGAGTCTAGCTGGCTGGTGCACTCATCCCCAGTATTTACACTGACAGTGGAAACATGCTTGGAACAGCTGCAAACAATTTCATCTCTGACCCTCTCGTGGTGAGGCCCTGTAATGCAGGATACAGAATTACATATATTACGACATTCACACTGCACATTACAGCACCTACTGCTCACTTCCCATGGAAAACATCCTCACTTATTTTATTAAAGCTAATTGGCACCCAATTGAATTATTTTAAAAGGTGTGCTTTGCAATAACTGTCATCTCAAAGGATGTTTACCATGAGGAAACATCTGTCTTCTCTGTGGGTTTTCTGCTTCCACATTATATATGTATATCTGAGAGTGTCAGAGCTCAGTAAAAGAAGTGTTCAAAATTGTAGCATGCTCTGCTATTGACCAAGCTGTCAGTTCCAGTTCTGAGTCCTCCCACCCATATTCATATTTTTTCCCACCTCTCCCATCTGTCCAAAAGCATCCCCTAAGCCATTGCCCACTTTCACTACAGCATTTGTCCAAACCAAAACTCCAACCTCAAGTCATACCTACATACTGAGTCCTCTGTATTCTCCCTTATTCCCTACCTAGACCTGTGTTACCAGCCCAGAATTGTTCACTTGATCTCAGCACAGCTTGGCTTTCAATGTCAAGACTTGCTCCTGCCCTGGGCTAGGAAGCTCATACCTTGCCACAGGCTCACAAGTGGAGTTTCAGGTAGGAACAATCACTTCTCACAACTACACTACTCTGAAAAAGCCCCCTGCACATCACATCATTTACACAGCTCTGGACCAAAAAACATCAAGAGCTATGCCTGACATCCAACTATGATCTCTACCTCCCTCCTCTACTACTTTAGTTCTGCAAGGCACGGAAAGTATTGTTATTAATTACCTCAGCAAGAGTAGATCCTGGACTGACAGGGAAAGGATTGCTATCACCTCAAAATAATCCTAGCACAGGGAATGTACAGAAAGATGGTTTAGGAACAAAAACATTAAGAGGAAAACAGAAACTAGCAACCTGGCTGGTGTGACAGAAGGCATCAAATGCCAAGGCTCTTCTTATTTACAGACTCATGCAGTTTATGGGCTTAG